CCACCAGAGAAGTGGTGCTGCTGAGGGAGCATCTTCTAAAAGACCTGATTGTGACACAGGTCACTAACGTGCCATTTACTAGAGGAAGGGGGAAACAAAAAAAGAAACAATTCATGTAATTACCAGGCACTGGACATGCAAGGAGCAGTCCCAGGTTTGGATAGCTGCATTGTACCCAGAGAAGACTAAAATATACCCAAACTGCAAGGACAAAATGAGCAACTCATGGCATTGCCTGGGTGTGACAGGGTTCTTGGAGCCCCTCTCCTGGGACCCCTGTGCCCCTCTCCTGCGCTGACCCTGCGCAGCTGCCAACGCTAGCCCCGGGTTTAGCACTGGTGTTCACAGAGCATTGGGGCCTCTGAGGCTCAAACTGTTTATTTTTTCCTTGTAACTGAAGATGTCCTTCAGCATCTGAGCAGACTTCCTGAGGAAAGCTGCTCCTCAGCAAATAATTTCCAGGGTTGGGTTGCGGAAGGAGGAGCAGCTACTGACTGTGGGGCACAGCCCAGGGCTGATGCCACCATGCCGGGAGCCCTGGCCCCATGCCCTGGAAAGGATCTGACAAGACCAGATGTTCCTCTTCCTAGCTCCCCAGCAGGCACTGGCCGGGTGTCCCTAGGAGCTGCCAGGACCTGCCCCTGGATGTGACTGCAGCTTGGCCAAGGGCAGGGGGTCCGGGGAAGGGGGGAGCTTCAGAGTGGGCAGCAGCACATGTGAGCAGTCTGGGTGGGAAAGCTCGGTCTCCCTTGGCTGGCATTTGCTGCGATGGACACAAACCCCAGCTCTGCTGACGTTCCTGGCATTGCTTCTGTCACCTCCCTCCTCTGCCACACCTCCTTAGCAGCTCTCTTGAGCGCTAACGCCAGGCTCTGGGTGTGCAGTGTACACATGCCCCACTGGAGTGGTACGTGGTGGGGGACACAAGGTTCTGGCAGGGCAAGGAACTTGGGAGCAACCGCCTCGGGCATTTCCTCGTGCCCTCGGCTGTGCCGTGCCACCCGTGATGGCACCATGCCACTGCGTGTCAGCAGCGTCTGGCACATCTGGCTGACAAGAAGCCCTGTGTTTGTGACGCCCAGCGTGGCGGGGAAACACTGAGTCCCTGCAGCCACGCGGGCAGCCCAAGTCTGGCCGGGGCAGCCACTGCTGCTGGCCCTCAATGCCTGTTTTGTTGGCGAGGCTGGGGGGTAAGTTGTCCCCATCCCACTGCTCCCATGAATATGGGCAGTGTCTAGGCACAGGCACTGCTCCATGGGGCCCTCCTCCTGCCATCCCAGGACCTCCTGGACAACGGTGGCCCTTGGAAGATGGGGGCCACTGTGTGCTGGGGCTGCTGGTGCCCAGCCAGCCCAGCTGTGCATCCACAGGGCAACGGAGAAACTGCTATGCGGGGACGAGTAGAGCCCGACCATGAGAGTGGCCCATGGGCAGCCCTCTCCTTGCCCCTGGGCCGTGCTGTGCCAGGGGATCTGGGGTGGTTTGGGGCTGGCAGCTGTGAGCCTGGGAACAGATTTCTGTTTCCACTGGAGAGTGAGTCAGCAGCAGCAGTGCCAAGGCCCATGGCTCCCCTCCCGTCCCTCCGGCCGCTGCCACCGCCCGGCCCTTTCCTGCTGCCACCAGGGTTCGGAACCCACAGTCCCATGGCCCTGCATCTGTGCAGAGCAGGATGGTGCCCTGCATGGCCTGGAGAAGGGAGGTGGTGGGGGCAGGTGGGTGCTGCTGCTGCATCCAATGCTATGCCCCTTTCTCCTCCTGCAGCAGCTCCATGCTGAGAGCACCACGTCCGTACTGGGAGCAGCGGGTCTGTGCTGGCAGCAGCATGTCCGTGCTGGGGCATGGCCCCTGTGCCTGCTCCACCCCAGAGAGGGGTTAATGGAGGGATGCAAAGTCCCCTGGTCCCATGGGTGGGTTCCTGCCTCAGTTTCCCTGCCACATCATTTCTGGCAGTCTCTCGCAGCACCAGGAAGGTGCATGTGGAGCTGGCAGCGCCTGCTGCTCACCCGACCGGCGTTGTTTGGGTTGGTTGCTGCTCGCATCCTGAGCCCCCGCTGTGCTTCTAACCACAGCTTCATCACCGTTACAAGAGA